TCTTTATCCATCCATAAGATTTGTTTAAACAGTGTTTTCATCTACGACAACAAATACATACCCTTTGTATATCGAAAATACAAGGCGAAAGATGTAAACCGTCTGAACTATGTAATGTATTTGAGCGACGCGTTTCGAACAATCTGACCACATGCGTACTTGTCATAGATAAAATATATGAAAATTCTTAAAGATAAGGGTTGATAATATGAAGTTACCGACGCATTAGCTCACCATGTGGTTAGAGGAACTATTGGATCCATTTAAGAATCGATTCTATAGGCATTCCTTAAAAGATACATCTGAAGCAAAGAAATGTCTTGACGATGTCAACATTAAAAATAAAATTGTGTTCATTTGACGTTAACGCACTATTCACTAATGTTCCTTTAGGCAAGACAATTGATCATCTATGCAAATACATTTCTATACATAGTTTTTCAATACATATTTCACTTTATCACTAAACAGAGCTACTTCTTTTATGGACAAGCAATATTAAACTTACATTCGAGGGTGAACATTTCCGTCAGGTTGATGCCTTTGCTATAGGAAATCCCTTGACCGCCTCTTACCAGACATATTTATGTCACACGTGGAAAACTTAGCAGAGAATTTAACTGGGAAAAAACCTATCTATATCAAAGATATGTCGATAATATTTTAATTATCTGCGATAACTCAAGTCAGTCCACTTCATTTCCAAACCGACCGAATGAAGTGCAGAGCGGCGTATCCTTGACGTGTAAAAAAGAGAACTATGATTGTTACCCATTCTTGGAAATATTACTTAGTCGGCAGCACGATCTATCCGTAAAATGCTATGTATGCACAAAATTTATATGGACAGGAAAATATCTGAACTATCATAACTTGTTTTCAGTTCAGTACAAACAAGCATTAGTTAGGTGCTTATCCAGTAGAACTCAGAGGATATGCATAGATGAAGACAGGAGAAGAACATTGACTGAAACACTGTTGGAAAATAACCATGCATCAAAATTGTTAGGTAGTAAAAAATAATCAGAGTTCCAAAACCAACTGTTTACTTTGTCCCGGAGATGTCTTCATCAGCCCTCCGCACAACACTGACTCTCATAATGCAATCTTTAAGCAGAGACTTTACGCTAGTGTTAAAAAGACTTACTGTGCAGCTAGGGCTAGATTAATATAAATCACCAGCTTGAATATTCACCAAACAGTTATAGCATGTGAACTATAATGTCGCATCTCATTGGATCGATCAATTCAAATGTGCTTGTGGTGACCCATACAGAGGGAAGGCTAATAAATCCACGCAAGTAAGGGTCTCGGAGCATGTTGCAAAGTAGCTTCAGAAGCGAATTGAACCAATTGAACCCATAACTGTTGATGGCAGAAGGCCAAGTGCTTTGATCACGAAACATATCGTTGAGACAGGTTACAGGATTGACGTTGCTACTTCCTTAGATATATTTACAAAATATGTTGTGAGCAGATCTATGAATTGTTGATACCTTAGCTATCAGAAAGTTTGAACCGCCTTTGTATGTTCAAAAACAATTTGTTATCACACCAAATCTCCCTTAGTGAATTCAGCTCTGAAACCAAGTTCGATGTACCATTATTTCCGCTCTGTGATTTTCGTTGTTAGTTCGCCTTAATTCAACCGTCCTACTTAACCTCTTTTCATATTCTCACCCCAATCACAAGTTTGCATGTGATCAGATTGTTTGAAATATGTTGCACAAACAAATTACACGGTCTAGACAGTTTACGTCTTCTTATTGTTTTGTAGTTTACAAATGGAACTAATTGTTTCAAATATGAGAAGAGGTTCTAAATTCATAAGATTCTGAAAAAATTTTATAATTTTTTTGGCTGGCAGTTTGTCTTCATTACTTTTGGTACAGTTACCTGAAGTGTCTGTAATAGTAATTCATGAAACCCTGGTTTATACAGCTATACTTCATATGCTACCGAGAGTTTTATTTTAAAAGTATTGTTTGTTTATTACTTCATTCCCTTTGGCGGAACTTGTATGTGGGATTTCCCTAAACGGAACTGAGGAAAATTAACAAAATATTCATTTTACTACTTGTTAACTTTTAACTTTGAGGACTCAGAGTAATTTTTGATTAGAACTTTTTCACTTTGTTGTTTTCCTTTAACTTATCAAATACCGCTTCAGGAATTATTGCATCTTAGACCCTGAAGTTCGTTTTCATCGAAATCCATAATGTATATTTGTGTTGTGGAATTCAATATGTTAACTTTCACAAGGTTGTCAAGGAAAAGGTAGGCTAAAAATTAGAAAAAAGTCATGCAGAATGTCTTAATAATGAAATTCAATTTCAAAGCTTCATAAATCAAAAGCAATCTTTTTCAAAAGAGTCAAAATACAGCAGTTAATTCAACCGTTCTTTGTTGTTTTCATTATACATTCATGCAAAACTGAATAACAGGACCACATACCTTCCTTCTGAAAAATAAAGATTTATTATTAATCTGCCCTGATAGGGGTTTAATGTTATTCTTATGGATAGTCAACAGTGAATTGCTAAGTTGTCACCAAAACAATCAGATGAAAATAAATTTTTACTGGGTATTATTCTAGAATATAGAAATGAACAAATTGAGTAATAAATGGTCATTCTCAAACACATAAAATGCCATCCAGTCATTTACAGTTGTCGGTTTAAACAATTAAAAGCCTCTGTCTTTATAATCTCATGAGTTTATTGCTTCTCAAAGGAATACAGGAAGGATGTTTCTCACCGTCTAATAGCATATATATATATATATATATATATATATATATATATATATATATATATATATATATCCCTATATCACCCAGTCTCTAAATAGCTGATTAAAATCCGTTTACCAGTGAGAAGTTAACTAGATTCACTCGATTTTGTCCATTCACTGAGTAGTAAAAACATATCTGGAAAATAAAAGCTCCCTTATTACTTCGCTTCACTCGTCTCAAATGTTATAATCATTAAGTCTATATGTTTTCGACGTAGATACATTGGAAATAGCAATCTTGCTGTCGATGTTCCATATGAATGTCTAAGGAAATAAGTTCTACAAAGTGATTTTTAATGTGTGGTTCTGATTCAGTAGTAAATTTTATTGACAAAAAGATGAAGTGGTAATGTGAATCACTCTTAGGTCTTCCATAGCAGATTACATTATGGCTAATCTAGAGAACGTTGCATATACTATGTTCAGTTTCCTATCAGTTCCATCTAAATATAATATACATGAATGAAACTTTCATTGTATTGAGTGAAAAAAGTTATCTTTATGCCACAATATTTTAATCTACTGATTTCCATCCCCCCAAGGAAGTTCATGGCAGTCGACAGTAACTCAGGATTTCAACTTAAGGCTATGTTGAAAAGGGAACTTGATGGACTCTTAACAGGTTCGTCTACAAAAGACCCACGTGGAAAGAAAAGTATATTGATTTTCGAAGTCTGATAACACTGAGCCAGGAAAAAATTTAGTCTATTAACTTTGGACTGGAACTTGAAGAATCTTCGCAAACGACAAACAGATGAAGAGGTTGAATGATTTTGAAAATCACTTAAGAATAGCTTTAAGCTGAGAACGATTTTAAAGAAAATGAGGCCTGGAGAGCATCAAAAACGGGTTCTAACTGTTCCCAAAAAAATTTCAGTCGTGAATACTGAGTTCTAAAAGACAACATCGAAGAACCGATTGTATGAAGAAATCAAAAAGACATATACTGAGTGTCTTCTCCAGCCGACAGTTGATTCAAGGTGTGAAGGATGAATAGCCACAATGGGTCACGTTAGTGTGTGTCTATCAGTTCACGCAGCGTAATGAAAATATTTACGAAGACCGCGTAAAATTTTTCCATCTGCACCTCTGAGCACTTTTCTGCTTGGTTACCTAAGGGAGAATGCAGGTCAGGAAACAGCTCAATTGTACATTACTTTATCATCCATTATCAGAGCTTTTCACAACAACATTCTTCTGAAATTCAATTTAAAGTTTAGAAGAACAACCCAGTAAGGGGGTTAATCTATTACTTATGCATTGCAAGGTGGTTTACAATGTAACATTCAAAACCTGAACTTCACATACAAGACACATCCAATTTCTCACTCTGTTGTTGTTACAATCTTCCACTGACTTCTTTCCTTTCTCCATGATTCATTTTACTTCTGATGACTGACTATTTTTTTATTTTATGACTCACTTCTCTGCATCTTCAAATATTAGTACTGCTACTGCTTGGCCTAATGGTCATTAAAATGACCGACTGCATATTGTTTTCAATACACCCTATAATTACGCAATCTGTTGTTAACATTATGAACCGTTCATTGTCTTCTTTCTAGGACATTCCATTTCGGT